CAAAGGAAATCTGTGTGCCCATGAAAATATACACACGTAACGGCTTAACACTATATGCTCACATGTACGGATTAAAATAATAATTTCTTAACACATTTTTTTTTACTACACTTTACACGACGACCTGTTTTTCACATCTGCGTTTTATTTGAACGTTCCGTGAATGGCGCCGTTTGGGATTGTAATTTTTTGACGGCGTTTGGATGCCCCCGCGACAGCCGTACCCCCCCCCCCCCGCGCGGGTGGGTGGGCGAGCGAGCGAGTGTGCGTGTGTCCACGTGACTGTTTTAGCTGTGGCGAGTGGCAGCACAGCTTAGTAGGGAGCGGCGGTTAGCGGGGAGCGGCGGTTAGCGGGGAGCGGCGGTTAGTGGGGAGCGGCGGTTAGCGGGGAGCGGTGACGCAGTGGTTAGCTGAGAGCGGCGGTGTGGCGATTAGCGAACCGCTGTGCTTACTAACCCGGCGGCCCTGAGTTCGATTCCCGCTTGCGAGCCACCAACACAGGCGACGATTGTTATCTGAAACGGTCCTGGCCCTCGCCGAGGTCGACTCAGCCTCAAGTGAACACCTGGTAAATTATCGGCCATTGGGGAGAAAGAGGCGGCCGGGGCATGCGGCGCCCCTTTTGCGTCCTCACCTGGGTACTTTGGAGACCCGACATTCCGGGCAGTGGACCTCTTTGAGCAGAGAGGCCGCAGCCCCCGGTTGACTGACCGTGAGAGCGAGAGAGCAGCGGGGGGAAACGTCCCCCAGGAGATCGTCGCTTGGCGTGAAGGCTCCATCCCATGGAGGGGGGTGGGGGGGGGGGGGGCGGGGGGGGGAGGGGTGTTGGTCCTGACTCGGTGGATAGTTTTCCTAAGTCCTGCTCTAACTCGCGAGTGTATTCACGTTTGGGAGAAAACCAGAGTGCACCCGGGGGAAAGGGGGCGGGGGACGGTGGAGGGGTTGGGGGTGGGTTTATAAGCCGCTTCTTTGAGCTATCATTTTCGATAACCAGGTCGCTTTTGATAAAGAGATGTATAGCTCAGTGGGGCCTCACCTGGTAAAATTTAAAATAGGAAAAAAATAGTTGTGGGGGGGGGGTGGGGGGGTGGGGCGGGATGGACCCCCGCGCACGCGTGGGCGAGGATCGGGCCGCCGTCTCTAAATTTCGGACGTTTTGGCTCGTCCAGGAAGCCGCTTGCTGTGCCGCCTGCCTTGTAGGGTGGGCGACTTGCGCCAGCCTCTTTGACTCGCTCCCGAGCGACGTCGTGTCGCGCAACGGGAGCGCACTTGACGAGAAGCGGAGCGATTCCCCGAGCGGTTTTACTGGGAAGGATGAGAAGCCACTCGGGACAGTAAGTGTGCGTGCAGGCTGGAATCGAGCGGCGGCATTGATGCTCCACTCCAACGGTGATTTCTCGACGGCAAGAGTTTCAACTAAACTAAGATAATTTGTTTTTTTATTTTACGACGTAGCGCCCGCTGAGATGTATAGATATTTTTCACAGTCCTATCATGCTTTGCACGTCACAGTTACACCATACTGTACTGTTGAATCAGCACTCACTGTATGCTGTATTTTTAATTCCTAGAAATGATCAAATGGATTTTTTATGCTGCTGCCGCCATGTATATGAATAACAATCGGGCCACAGTACTGACTCATTTTAGTAGACGGTCTGAAACAAAGCTGCGTGCAGTCTGTTGAAGTCACGTGACGTGCAAGGCATGATGGGAGGCCTGATCCAGGGGCGGCCCCAGGAGCCGTTTAGATTTCACTCGCCACCGATGTTAGCCGTGGCCGGCGAAACAAACTGGGATCGGCAGGTTTAAAGCGCGGTGTGCGCTAACCATGTGCCACCGCTCCACCCTGATATGTAAAATTGCTTACGTTTTATTTCAGGTAAAAGCGTGGCAGCGTCAAATCGTGCAATTCAAGTACACGAAGTGGGACATCAGATAAAACTTGGGCTGCGGTTGAAATTAAAGCTTCGACAACATTACCGTTGTTATTTGACCTTTAGGTTTTTTGTGGGTTCTGCTCGCCTGCCACTGTTCCCTCACCACTGGCGTCAACAGTTGTGCGGATTTCATCTTGTTCGTCTGCACAACAATCTTAGTTTGGATTTGTAAAGCATCTAAATATGAATGCTTCTCTGCATGCTGTACAAACAGGGAGGGGCGGGCGGGCGGGCGAGCTGCGGAGTAGAAGGCTACCACGCAGAGGAGGCGGCCACTTGGTTTTAGATGCCAATGAAAGGGATTCATCGACGCGTCACAGACACAGCAAATGAGCAAGATCTCGAGGCAGGGATTGGCCAGGGCAGCATTGTCGGCAATGCATGCAGCCGTAGGCCTCTACAGCGTTTGTATGTTTTCATAGATGTACCGTATTCTCCAGATTATAAGACGCACTTTTGTTCTCAGTATTATAAGCAAAGCTTTGGGAGTGCATCTCGTAATCTGGTCAGTGTGTATGCATGTGTGTGTGTGTGTGGAGCGAGCGGTAGTGTAACGGTGAGCGCGCTGCGTTAGGAACCTGACATCCTGAGTTCGATTCCCGTTCATGGCCAATACCAGGAGCGATTATCTGAACTGGTCCTGGGCCTCCCCTAGGTAGACTCGGTCTCAAATGAGTACCTGGTGCGGTGTGTAAAAAGATCGCCTCTTGGGAGACAAAGGCGGCCGGGGCGTGGTGCTGGCCACTCAACCCCTCGTGTGCCATGCCGGCCTTTATAGGTGCTCGCTAACAGCACTGTCCCCAACAGTCTGTTCAGGCTATACGGGGGATTTTTCGATTTAAAGCTTTTGTGACTGCAGGGATTCATCTTCTTGGTTCTTTCGGTAAAGTCACGTAGAATGGAAATAAAATAATAAAAATAAAACAATATACTTAGCTCTTTCGGTAAAGTCACGTTGAAGGGAAACAATAAAATAATAAAATATATATAACAAAAATTCTCACGACCGTTTGTGTTATGGTCGAAACGTCGTGAGAATTTTTATATTTTATATATTTATTAATTTATTGTTTCCCTTCAACGTGACTTTACCGAAAGAGCTAAGAATATGAATTACTGCAGTCACGAAAGCTTTAAATAAAAATAAAACAATAATTCCACCCACACAGCTTAAAATACGCTGTCCATGCTTGGCAGTGTTCACTCAAGCGCTGGACAGTCCTGTTTCTTCACCTGAAGAAGGCTACTTGTGTTGTGGCCGAAACGTCGTGAGAATTTTATTTTATTATGTTTTATTTTTATTATTTTATTTCCATTCTACGTGACTTTACCAACAGAACCAAGAAGATATACGGGGGATCTTTGTCTTTGTCTGTGTCGTCTCAGTCAGTCAACCCATGGCACCTGGGTCTGTCCCGTGACCTGCCAGTGGTCTTTCGACACTTCACATAGCCTTAATGTGCACATGGCCTGGCACAAGCGCCGTGGTGATGTCACCGTCACTTAGTGGCGAATGGCGGTTGTTGTGTCTCTGTGGCCTTCATAGGCGCTCGGTAACAGCACTTGCCACAAAAGTCTGTTTTAGGCTGTACGAGGAATCTTTTTTTCTTTGTGTGGCCACATTTGTGTAACTTTGTTGACGCCGGAGCACAGGTTTGTGCTTTGTCTTATTTTACCAAAGCGTCTCATAGTCTGAAGAATACGGTGAATAATTCTAATTAACATTTATAAGGAACAATTTATCCAGGGATCTTAAGTGCGCCATGCACGAAGTTAGGAAATATAAATGCCTCAAGGTAATGCGGAGTCCACTGGTCTATGCATGGGAAGTTGGAGGCCTGCAGGCGAGAGAAGCCCTGTAGAGAAGAGCTAAACACAGGGCGAGGGAGCTCGCCTGTCTAGCCACGAGTGGCAGCAGCAGGGACTTCCAAACTCTTTGGGCAGCGCATGCAAGGGGCTCGGTCACCCCAAGTGCAGAGTCGAGTTGAACTATGAAACTATTTCAAACTATAAACTATTTTATTTTACCAGGTAAGGCCCAATGAAGTGGCTCACCACGTGGAGTTTTTAACGTAGATGATTTAAAAGTTCGTAGCCTCCACTGGCTTCCTAATATCGGAAGGAAGAGCGTTCCAGACGGCCGCAGAAGCGCATCTAAAAGTGCGCGATGCGGTGACCACCGTCTTTTTTCGATGACTCACTGAAAAGCTGCTGCTGCTGCTGCGAGGATGACCGGAGCTTGTGTGTGATGGTTTTATGCTCCTTGACGATAAATGTACACTATGTTGATCTTTAATCTTGACCTAAAGCTTTCGCGACTGCAGGAATTCATACTGTTTGGCTCTTTCGGTAAAGTCCCGTGACTTTACCGAAAGAGCCAAAGAGTACGTTGAACTTCTTTCGCACCACCGTACGTAGCCAGCCATGCTAATCGGAGGTGCGGTGGAAGGACGACAAAAAACTAACCGCACAAAGAAGACACTCGGCTGTCGGGAGACGGGGATCGAGGACAAGGGGCATAACCACTGCAGATAGGGAGGGAGCCGGATTCGGAGGGGTGGATAGAAAAAAATTGTCGTTTAGGTCGCCTCTTCTGTTTTTCTTTTCTTTATGTCAATGTGTGTTTCGTTTATATCCGCTTTCTCCGCTTGTCATCCCTTCCCCCTTAAATAAAAAAAAGTTACATTTTCTGCTTTCGGTGGGACCCCCCGCCCCCCGGTATGGTTTGGGCAGTGAGCCCACCCCCCCCCCCTTATTTCTATATCCCCTTTGCTTTTCACGCTGGTTTGGTTCACGTTGACGGTGTGTGCACCACACGTGCCTCGCAACGTGGTGGATCGGGCCCGTGTACACTGCCTCAAAAATAATCATATGAATAGATTTTAACAAAAAATTATTAACAAATAATAAGTGATCTTAATTAAAAAAAAAGCATCTACAGCTGCTGGTCAGCTCGGCGGAACATTCGACGTGAAACGGTTTCACCGCCCCCCCCCCCCCCCCCCCCCCCCCCCATGTCCGCCCCCATGTCCGCCTCGGTGTGCGTTTGCGTTGTCGCAGCATCGACTGCGCGGGGATCTTGAAGCTGCGCAACTCGGACATCGAGCTGCGGAAGGGCGAGACTGACATCGGGCGGAAGAACACGCGCGTACGCCTCGTGTTCCGCGTGCACATCCCGCAGCCCGGGGGCAAGGTGCTCTCCCTGCAGGCCACCTCCATCCCCGTCGAATGCTGTGAGTGAACCCCCCCCGCCCCCCCCGCCGCCTCGTCGCGCGTGGCGGTACGTGGGCGATCGCACCTCCCCCCGACGGGCACGGTCGGCGACGGTGCGGGCCGGCGCGGGGGGAATTGTTTGAGCCCCGTTCTTTCGCCGCCGTACGTGGCCGGCCGGCCGTGCTGATCGTAGTACGCGGGAATGGAGCAACTGCAACACGAAACATGTACGCACGAAAGGTCCCCCTCCCGCCGTCTAGCCTTTTAACAGGCTGTTGGGGCAAGTGCTGTTAGCGAGCGGCGCCTGTGAAGGCCGACGCGGCACACGAGGGGGCGATGTGGCCAGCTCCACAGCCGGCCGCCTTTGTCTCCCCAAAATGCTGACGTTTACTGCACACCGCGCCAGGCATAAGAACTACCACCGCGTGGCCCGGCCCAAAAACACCTAGGGGGTCTCGTCGTTATCGGCTGCAAAAAAATTAAAGTTTGAAGTTTAATCCGACCGTCGTATTGTGAAATTCGATGTGTGGTTTCGCGTCCTCACCCCCCCACCCCACCCCACCCCACCCCACCCCTTCCACGCCCCCAACCCCCGCACAGCCCAGCGCTCGGCCCAGGAGCTGCCGCTCGTGGAGGGCCAGAGCGTCGACGGCTGTACGGCGAACGGCGGGCAGCAGCTGGTGCTGCGCGGGCACAACTTCCAGCCGGAGTCGCGCGTCGTCTTCCTGGAGAAGGGGCCCGGTGGGTGCCACGCGCCGCTCCGTCGCAGCGGCGCGGGGCGCGCGCACTGCGGCCCGGAGAACGCTTGAGGCCGGTAGCGCGCCCCAAGCCGGAGCGTGCTCCAGGCCCGGAGGGCACTGCAGTCCGATGCGCGCTCCAGACTTTGGAAGCGATCCGGGGCGTAGCGTGCTGAGCCCCGTAGCGTGCTCGGGGTTGTAGCGTGCTGCAGGCGATAGCACACGCACCCTCAACAACAACAACAGCAGCAGCAGCAGCAGCAGCAACAAAAATATCAATTCCTCGCCATCTTTCATGATCACATACAATCTAATCGTATCTCAAATGGCTCGAGATTAATGTGTCGTACATTTGTATATTCATTGATACATTTTTTTTGGTTGTCAGAATTTGTTTCTTCAACTTACCCGTGAGCTGAAACAATAATAATAATAATAATTGGCACGTTCAAACGCTTACACGCGTGACAGGTGTTTTTTGGCTGTGCTGGGTGGTTAGAGGGTATTTAACTACACGCGTTTGGGCCTATCATTACGTGGCATAACCCAAAGATCGATTACGAATCGCATCGGCCGACTTCATAAAGGGATAATGGCGGCAGCTGATATGATTCATGAGGTGCGTGCGGCTGACGAAAAATAATAATAGCGGAGTGGCAGATGTAATTGTATCGGGTCCACTGAGGAGACAGAGCCAAGGCGGTCGACTCTTGTGCCGGGGCTGGCTGTGTTGTTACCTAGCAGGATCTTGAGGGGGGCTGGTGGAGACCTGGGGATGCCTTCCTCCAGCAGCGAATTGATCATGACTGATGATAACGACGACGAATCACATGCGACAATTTACAGCGCTTATGGATGAGATGCCATTTCACTCCACGTCGGGCATGCCGGGGTTGTTTTGTCCGTACTTCACCGCACCGGTCGGTGTGGGCTGGCTTTTACGGTCGGCGCCTTCTGCCACCCCCCCCCCCCCCCTGCCGTGCCGCGTTGTCTGGCGCGCTCGCTCCGCTCACCGTCTGGGTGATGCACAATGCCTGGAAAGATGTCAGGGCTGCTGCCAAAAGGGAAGCCAAACAATATGGGGAGGGGCGGTGGGGGGGGGAGTGGGGGGGGGGGGGAGCGGGGCGCCCAGTTAGTGGGCCTTTTTAAAAATCGGAGCTTAAGTATGCGTCCGATGGACCCGAACGGCGCGCCGCGGGAAAACTCTGTCCCCGTGAATTGGCGCGCACAAACGCACCGCAGCCTGGGCCGCTACAGAAAAAAAGCGTCCAAAGAGGCGCGCGGGCCTCTTTGGACGCTTTCCAATCCCGTCCATCGAGTGAAGCTTCTGTATTTCCACGTTATATATGCGTGCCTAATAAGCATATATATAATATACGTAGGCTAAGCCGGGTGTGGTGATGACGCATGCCTTCAATCCAAAGTGGGATCCGACGAGGCTAGCAAAACGTTCAAACCCACCGGGCAGCAAGGTGGCCAGTGGATTAGCAGTACAGCAAGTAGGTTTGTATACAGCCCATCTATGTAGGCCTCTGAGCGGTATCGTCCGGCGGTACGCATTCAGTTCATCCTGGACCTCTGATTTCCTGCCATGTGCTCGACGTGCATAAAAAAAAAAGTGTGCCCATACCCTGTTGAAGAAGGGCATTGAGGACGCGTGCTTTCATGGAGCGTTGAATGGCATGATTATTATTATCTTCGTAGCAAGGCCTATCGCAAAATCGCCTGAAACGCGCCCGATTACGTCATATCTCGGAAGCTAAGCAGAGACCTTGAGCCTTCATGGCAGTTGCTTGGCCGGACGACCAGGGAGAGAGCCCCCTTACAACGAGCTAACCCCAAAAGGAAACAAGAAATTTTGAACCATAATGTCGGTCGCGTGGGCCTACGCGTGAAACGACAGCGCCGTCCGTTGCCAACCGCTCGACAGTTTTGGGCCTTGGGCCCTTTGGCTATTGCGCCTTAGCATCGCTGATTACAAAAATAAAAAAAAAATCATAATTACTTACATTCTTTTGCCCACCAGCTCGGTGCTCCAATCGAGCCCGTTGAGCCTCCCAGACACCTCCACAAAGTCGTGTTTTAGCCACAGGGTAGTGGGTTGTTTTTTGACGCCCGTCGTTTCACTTACCTGCCCAGGAAAACTCCTGACGGAGCCTCTCGGTCTCTTGACGAGGGCCGCCTGCTTCTAGCGTCGGCGGGCCAGTTCCGCTGTCGAGTAATTTTCGCGTACGGTACCAAATCCCGGGCGCACCTGGAAGAAACTTCGCACACGGGGTAGGCCAGCAACCTACTTGTTGTTCTTACCCCCCCCCCCCCAGCCTCCCCCCTTGGCAGGCATGGCATCGTCCCACGAAACCGGGCTGTTCTCGCGTACCAGAGCGCCAAGCATGGGGAGCAATTCTTCACCGGTGTCAATTTCAGTAATAATACGGGTGGACGATGAATGATCACACCTTAACATCTCAGTGCAAGAATATTGCTTTAAATTAGCTGCAGAGTGCAGGTATTTATATATATTAAGGGGGAATTTGTGAATGTGTGTGTCTGTTCGAAACGTTTAGCATACTTCCCGACATGCAACAAACTTGAAATTTGGCATGTGGGTAGCTTCCAGACTGTACACAATGCAAAAAAGTATAAAAATCGACTTTTGAATTTTGGCGGGGAGGAAATGGGGGCGCAATAATGGATATAATATATTGCACGGCAAGTGAGTGGTGACGTCACATTTGTGATGCGGCAGCATCACGCAGTGTGCCTGCTGACGTCACACCAGTGACGTCACACGCAGTGTGCCTGCTGACGTCACGCATCTCCCTTCCCCCCAACCCTCCGCGTAGGCGGTCTGTTAATCCAAGAGAAGAATCCAACTCCCGGGCGAAGCCGGGTAGTAAAGCTAGTACACATATATATAACGCTTATAAGTGATGCTGAATGAGACCAGAGGCATCGCCACGACAATGTCCGCCTGAGAAGGCGTAATTTACTCGCGTCGTATAAAATTCAAACACGGCCCTTGTGTGACGTAGCAGCCGCCAAATCACCGGTATTTGTCACCGTGAAGTCGGCAGGTTTAAGCGCTATTTTGCGTGCTGTATGATTACTTTAAACAGCTTTGTTCTCGGCTTCCGTATCGTTCAATCCTTGCCCTCCCCCCCCCTCCCCTCTTGTCAGAATTCTTTAAATTAATTTTACGACAATGGAGTAATTGCAGCTGTTAAACGTTACGTAATTGTTTTGCACGATCGTTGCAGCTTGCAGTGAGCTCTTGGCCATTGACGTTTGTTTCGTTAGGAGATTATATCTTCACAACGCGCCGCGCACGCGGGCAGCCTGCACCCGCCCCCATGTGCCCGCGCCAGGGTTGTTTTTATTTTATTTCTTCTGATTGGGGGGGGTGGGGGGGCACACACGATCCAAAGCACCGATGGCTCTTGTCGGTTGGCGTTACAGAGGCCACACCTTTGCGGGCCCGTGCCCTGACCGGAGCTGTCACGCTCGCTTAAGTGAGACGGACGGCCGGTTGGAAAAACGGCGGTGGGGCTGCCAGGATTCCGGGGGAACCGGCAGACACAGAACTCGGTTCAACGCGTTGGACATGTGGTGCATTCCACAGCGCGGTGTGTCATCGTTGGAAAAGAGGGGCGGCGGGGGGGGGGGGGCGCCCTTCCTCTGCCAAGACGGCCGGCCGCAGCCGGCGGCGTCTGCCGTTGCCGCCGAACGCGCCGGTGTGGGCGTGCGATTTCCAGTGCGTCTGTTGCGCGTGTGTACGTGCGCGCACGTGCGTCCGCGTGTGTACGTGTGCACGCGTGTGCGTACGCGTCCGTGTGTGCGTACGTGTGTCTATGCGGTTAGCGCGCTTGCGCTACGACCCCGTCGGCGAGAGTTCGATCCCCGCTCGCGGTCGACATCAGCGACGAGTCCTGGGCCTCCGCTAGGTCAACTCAGCCTCAAATAAGCACCTGGTTGCGATGTGTAAACATCGCCACTCGTGAGACAAAGGTGGCCGGGCTTGGTGCTGGCCACCCACCCCCTCGTGTGCCGTGCCGGCCTTCATAGGTGCTGCTCGCTAACAGCAGCACTTGCCCCCAGTAACAGTCTGTTAGTCCTTTACGGGGGGACCTTTGACTTTGTGCGTGTGTCTGTGTGGAGTTGGCGGGAAGGGCGTGCGGGGTTTTTGCGCGATGTGTTTTTGTCAACAATCATCACGGGCTCGCCCTGCCGACCCTGACGTTAGCCGCCGAAAACCGCGGAGCGTCGCTGGTTTTCCCTCGACAGCCACTTAGTTCAACGAGGATTTTTGTGTAAAAAAAAGTGTCGCTTTGGTCATTAACGCTGTCCTCACGTTGGACCGATATGGTTCTCTCGCAATCCAGAGGTGGGCGCCTCGCTTGGACATCTCAAGTTTCTTAAATCCTTGCGCTGCGTGTCAGTGGTTACGTTGTAAGTCGGTTGGCAGATCGCTAGCGGTGGAGAAAAGTGTGGGTATCCCCACCTGCCTTTCCAATGCGCCTATTCCGAAGCGGAAGTTTTTAGCACCTAGATATCCTCTTGGAGGGAGCTCTCTAGAGCATGGGGGGGGCGAGGGGGGGGCGTTTCCGACAGCAGTGGCGTGAGCAGGGCACCCCGGCGTGAACCCGTGAGGCCGTACGGTATCGCCCACTCGCATCGGAAAAAGCGCAAGGGAAAGTTATAAAAACAAAACACAACCTGACACTCCTGTGTCATCAACGTTGCCTTACAACTGAAAGAAAAATATATATATATATCATGGCTTCTTACACATTTGTCTGTAAGTCACTTACCGCCATGTGTCAATCCTCTGCTGCAGGAATGGCCTTCCCCTTTGACGTGTGGGTCGTAGAGGCTGTTTGACCATACTTCACCTTGCTGGTTCGCGCACCCCCTTTTGAAAGTTTGTGAAGAACACTGAGCTCAGGGAGCTGATGATGATGATGGTGATGATAGTGGTTGCAGTGGTTAGTGCACTGCGACATATGAAGCTGGTTCTCCTGAGTTCGATTCCTGGTCACGGCTAACGTCGGTGTTGAGCGATGTCTGAACTGCTCCTGTGCGCACCCCTTTCACCGACCTGTGCTCACCAGCGTGGTGAAGTACGGTCAAACATGCCTCCGCCCAACGCGGCAAGCACGGTCGGCGACGAAGTACGGTGCGAAAGAAGTTCAACGCACATACGTACGTACGTACAGGTTGGGGGGGAGACCTCACGGTCACTTCGGATAGATCTCGCCACTGACAAAAGCCTTGTCCGAGGATCAAACTCAGGTCACCGGCTGAATAGGACAGTGGCGCTGACCACTACGCCACTTTCGGCGGGCGTTATTGAAGAGGGTGGTTGCGGTTTCAACAACAAAGAAAAGTACCAACACGACCCCTCCTAACAAAAATGATCTTATTTGCGACGGAAAGTCGCCGCTTCTGTATTTTACACGTCCAGTCACGAGGCAGTCAGAAACGGCTCATTGCATTAGCAACAGAAAACTCGCCTCAAAAAAAATCCATGAATTTATGAATTCATGGATTGATTTTTTTTTTTATCCGATGCCTCGAGCGGCTTTAGTTGACACATTGATGGTCCGCACGGCTGTAAGTTATTTACGCTCCGCAGGCCACCTCAATAAAGCCAACGCTGCCGTTGCATTTTTTAAGCGAAGGTCAAAGTCGTGTTGTTGCCCCCCCTCCCCCCCCCCCCCCCGCCGGCGGTGTAAACTCCACGTTCCTATGGAAAGTGTAGGTTCTATCGTACGCGGCGCCGTTGTTCCTGTGCCAGCGCATCTTGGGGACGCGGCTGCGTTGGTCGGCGTGAGGGCCGTGCACCCCAGAAGGGGACGGCCGCAGTGGAGATGGAGCGAGGATGCCGTTCGTTCCCGAGCGCATCGAGGGGAGACGCGTTGCGGGTAGGAGTCCAGCAGCGGATGGAATCGGGAGTTAATTTCCCGGGTATCTTATCTTTTTGTTTGTTGGTATTTATGCAGCGTCTTTAGCTCAAGGCGCCTCTATAACAGGGTTTAAATGCGGTGACAGAAACCGAGTGGTTTAGATGACAAGGGCAGGGCAAGGCCCGAGGGATGAGTGACCGTGACAAGAGGGCACACACAGGGGTCACGGCAGGGCTGCAGGGGAGGGATGGGAAGAGGTGGAGGGGCGAGGGGAGAGAAGAGGAGGTGAGGCTTCGAGAGAGAAGGAGGTTAAGGAAGGGGACTGCTTCATGTACAGGGGCAGTTTTGGATCTATGGGCAGTGTTGAGTCTATGGGGCAGTGTTGAGTCTATGGAGTAGTGTGAGTCTATGGGGCAGTGTTGAGTGTATGGGGTAGTGTGAGTCTATGGGACAGTGTTGAGTGTATGGGGTAGTGTGAGTATGGGCAGTTTTGGATCTATGGGCAGTGTTGAGTCTATGGGGCAGTGTTGAGTCTATGGGGTAGTGTGAGTCTATGAGGCAGTGTTGAGTGTATGGGGTAGTGTGAGTATGGGGCAGTGTTGAGTCTATGGGGCAGTGTTGAGTCTATGGGGCAGTGTTGAGTCTATGGGGTAATGTGAGTCTATGAGGTAATGTGAGTCTATGGGGCAGTGTTGAGTCTATGGGGTAATGTGAGTCTATGGGGTAATGTGAGTCTATGGGGCAGTGTTGAGTCTATGGGGTAATGTGAGTCTATGGGATAGTGTTGAGTCTATGGGCAGTGGAGAAAGAGGTGAGGCTTTTTGAGGGAAGAACGACAGGAGGTTTAAGAGTAGTGCGATTGTTAAGCGGATTGAGATGAGGAATGCGTGACCGCGATAGAGGGATATGTAGGGATCACGAAAGGATAGGGATGGGAAGGAGTGGAGTGGCGAGGAGATGGGAGGGAAGAGGACGAGAATGGGCAGTGGAAAAGAGGTGAGCTGACAAGTCAAAACGACGGTCTTGGCATTTTCCTTAGAAAAGCGGGAAATGTTAAATGTTTGGGTTTGTGTGTGTGTTTGTGTGTGTTTGCGTGTTTGTGTGTGTGTTTGCGTGTTTGTGTGTGTTTGCGTGTGTGTGTGTTTGTGTGTGTTTGTTTGTGTGTGTTTGTGTGTGTTTTTGTGTGTGTGTTTGTGTGTGTTTGTGTGTGTGTTTGTGTGTGTGTTTGTTTGTGTGTGTTTGTTTGTGTGTGTGTGTTTGTGTGTGTGTGTTTGTGTGTGTGTTTGTGTGTGTGTTTGTGTGTGTGTTTGTGTGTGTGTTTGTGTGTGTGTTTGTGTGTTTGTGTGTTTGTGTGTGTGTTTGTGTGTTTGTGTGTGTGTTTGTGTGTGTGTTTGTGTGTGTGTTTGTGTGTGTGTTTGTGTGTGTGTGTGTTTGTGTGTGTGTTTGTGTGGAACCCGTCCCGAGCGGTAAGTGCAGCGGCCGCCAAGGTTCGCGCGGCGACTTGAAAATGCGCCCCATTGCAGAGGAGAAATGCGCCACACAACTGGCCCATTCAACCAGTGGCTCGCCTCGCCTTAGGGGAGATTCCAGCCGAGCGCTCGTGGAGAATTTATCGGCCGGCGCTCGGGAGGAGACGTGGGGGCTGGGAGAGGGGGTGGGGTGGGTGGGGGGTGGAGGGGGGGGATTCCAGGGGTTTCTCTGCCGGAACACAGAGACTCGTGTGTAAAAACAGAAGAAAGAAATACAGATTTCTTTTTTGTTTCAAAATATATTTTGGTTTGTCCCCGTGGTAACACTTTTTGTGGAAAGGTCAAAGCGGGGAGGGTGTGGTGGGTGGGTGGGGGAGGTTTGTGTGCTCGTATGTGGCCGCGCTGGCTCACAGCGTGCGTGTTTGCGCAGACGTACGCCCTGATGAGTTGCTCTTATGAGTTCTGAGCACGCGCGAGCGCACACAAACACACACAAACACACGTGTGTGCGTATGCTCACAGAACCTCGTGCAAAATCAGAGGCCTCCGCCGAGTTCATCCTCACGTGCTGTCGGTAGAAGTGCTGAGCGTGAGCACCTGTTGTGGTGCGAGTGGAGCGCTCCGAATAGGCGGTGCAGCCAGCACCAACGCCACCCACACCTGCGTATGGACATCCGGCGCTCGTTCGGATTTGACTCGGCCGTAAACAACGTGGCCAAGAACGGAGTGCCGTGGACGATAGCGCTCTGTATAGACCACTACTCCACCACCCACCCCCACATTTTATATAATATATAAATAAACATACATATATAATAAAAACCTGTATAGACACAATACAAATTCCACATTTATGCGAGTCACACAACTGGAGCACATTACTTGAGTTGCACCGCCCCCCCCCCCCCCCCGGGGCCTCCCCCCTCACTGGCATCACATTGCCATTTGTTGATTTTTTTTAAACAAATATATGTTTTTGTCAAATTGATTTGGTTGTCATTCTGATACGAGCGGTCGGGTTCGCTGGGCCCATTCCGCTTCAGGGGCTGCCCCCCCCGCCCCGCCCCGGTCCCTGTCGATGTTGAGTGCAGCTCCACATTAACAATCCCACCTCGCTTCTCTCTCCACTGGTTTTCCGCCAAAGCAAAATGGGAGGAAAACCCCGCGTCCCTCGCCATGGATCCTCTCCCGCGACTCCAGCATGCATTTGTCTTTATCGGAGCGCCCGTTAGTTGCCGTGCACACAGACACGGACAGGTCTCATGCTATTCTTAGTTTTTTCGGTAAAGTCACGTTGAAGAGAAACAACAAAATAACAATATATATTGTTAACAATATATATTAACAATATATATTGTTATTTTGTTGTTTCTCTTCAACGTGACTTTACCGAAAAAACTAAGAATATGAATTACTGCAGTCACGAAAGCTTTAAATCAAAATTTAGGTCTCATGCTATCGCGCTTTCAACATTTGGTTGGAAAGTATTAAAATGCTTGACGAACTGTAAAGACGATGGGATTGACAAGAAGTGTTTTTTTTTATTTGTTATCATAATTCGCCATGGCTGAACGAAACATTTGAAGGAAGTCACTTGGTTCCAAAATGTTCCAAAAGGGCAGAGAGGGTTCGCGTGTTAATCGTTTGCTACCCATATGTGAACTCATCTTAACGCACCTTTGATAACAGCGCTGCTGCTGCTGTTGCGTTGTTGCCGGGCGCTTTACTTTTTTGGGTCTTTGGGAGCGGGGGGTGGCCTGCTGTACGCGAGCGCGGTTCAAGCGGAAGAGTTATTAACGACGGCTCGTCTCGCGTCCCCCCCCCCAACAGATGGGAGGAACCTGTGGGAGGTGGAGGCGAAAGTGGACAAGGACAAGAGTGAACCGGTGAGATTGACCTCTCGCGACTCCGCGACCTCAAAAGTGTTCCCGAATGGAAGGAGAACCGCGTTGCAGCGAAAACGCGTTCCCGGTGTGTGAGCACCGCCTCGCGTTGAGCGAGGATTTGGCCTAGTCCTTCACCAACCACCGCTTAACCAGCGTGATGAAGTACGATCGATTAACCACCGTGGCTCACGGCGTGGGGAGGCCGTCATCCGGCAGCGGATTGACAAAAAGGGCCGTGCGTTCGCAAAGTTTCATCAGTGTGTGTTTTTTTATTTTTGAGCGGCAGTTGTAATAACTTCATGGCGGCGTGTCTTTAAAGCAGACATGGGCAAAGTACGGCCCCCGGGCCGTATACGGCCCGTTGGGCTTTTTAATCCGGCCCGCCGAACTATTATTATATTAAATTAAATGTGACCTTTCTCCTGTAATGCCCCCATTTCCCCATTAGATGGCGCACTTTGACCGGGAGTGTGGTAATTGGTTTGGGCGCAGGCCTCAGATGTTTTCACGATGTTTGATCAGTCACGTTGCGACAAGTTTTTGTACTGTTCATGTTCGTGCCATTTGTTAAATTGCCTTGCAAATAAATGCTTTGCTACCTGTTAAAAGGCCAAATCCTTTCATGTAATGATTTTTACACGTCATTTATATTAGTTCACACAAACACTCCATCCATCTGTTTCTGGCCCGGCCCCTCTGTCAAATTTTAGAACCCATTGTGGCCCACGAGTCAAAAAAATTTGCCCACCCCTGCTCTTAAAGTCATCAAAAATAAACGTCTTTTTTAGAACACAAAAAAGGAAGTCTCGCACGCCGTATAAGTCTGCGGTTTTTCGACCGTGGTAATAGACAGACATTCACGAGCAGAAAGAGCTTCTCTTTCTTTCTAAATTTAACGTGCCTTGGTAAAACACAGACGTGTTGTGTGCGTGGAGTGAATGCATATTTATGTCTCGGTAGTTTTTTTGCTCCGTTCCTGAAACGGAACTACGTTGTGTGATTCAGAGAGGGGAACTTGCTCTTGTTGACGTGAATCTTGCCGGTGGAATTTTGTTGCCTTTGGTGAATTTTGCGCAGCATTGCTGCGGTGTGCGCGTCATTTACGTGCGTGCTTTTTGCATATTGTCGTTATTGTGGGGGTCCACAGTGAGCGAGATGTTAACCACCTCGCCTGGTATACAGGAGGTTGTGGGTTCGATCCCGACCCTGACAACCGTATACTTGGAGTTTGCGTCGTCTCTATTCCTCCCGGGTTGTCCCCTCCACGTTTAGAAACACGCACTTTGGAGTATTTGCCTGCTGTAAATTTCCGTGCGACTAAGCCACTTTTGAATGAGCTATCATTTGTGATGGCCAGGTCGCTTAAGAAACAGAGCTATATAGCTTAGTGGGCCTTACCTGGTAGAATAAAAATAGTTGAAATAGTTTAGTTTTTTTTATATTCAAGCATTTTTCCAAGCAGGCATTTAAAAAAATAAAATCATGATGATTGCATGTTAACGGAGATCCTTTCAAATCTCACATGTTCTATTTTCACATTGTTTCTTTTGTTTTATTGGGTAATACATTTTTTGTGGACTATTGCGTTTAGATCAATATAAATTGTTACATTGCAGATAGTTCCGCGTATGGTGGGATAAAGTGTGCATACTCCGACGTCTTGCGAGAATTCTCGCCAGATCCCCTCGAGGGAGGCCCCCTAAGAGCTCTCGTTAGTGGAGGAGCATCTGCCAGCAGTGTCGTGAGTGGGAAATTGCAGGGGCTGCACCTTGTACTTAAATACCTCGGCAACTCAAAGCGCCTTGCATCGCATCCCATCTCAACCATTACAGTGGCTTGCTTGCAGTCTAGCCATGGGTGTGGTGTGGCAAAGTGTGGCTACTCCCACCTCTTCCAAGGCATCTGACAGCGTGAAAGAGTAGACCAAAGTACCCCTCTCTTACAGCTCTCCCTAGTTGGAGGCTCTTGCACCACCACTGCCATGAGCAAGCAATTGCAAGGCTGCACCTTTAGCTTCGAGTATATGGGTTATAAAACCTAACGTATGATCCTGGCATTCGCTATTCGCATGCGCTTCGCGTTTCACACCCCCCCCCCCCCACTTCCCGTGCCCCCTCCTCCCCCCCACCAGACGAACCTGGTGGTCGAGGTTCCTCCGTACCAGAACAAGAGCATCAGCCACCAGGTGCAGGTGCAGTTCCACGTGTGCAACGGCAAGCGCAAACGCAGTCAGCCGCAGCGCTTCATCTACCTGCCCGCCAACGGAGGCCTCTCGCCCGCACTGCGAGACCGTGAGAGCACGCACGCGCACGCAAGCACGCACACTCAAGCATGCACGCGCTCGCAAGCATGCACGCGCTCGCAAGCATGCACGCGCTCGCAAGCATGCACGCGCTCGCAAGCATGCACGCACACGCAAGCATGCACGCGCTCGCACGCGCGCAAAGTTCCCTTTGCAGCCATACAGAGACTGATGGGGCAAATGTTCTGGGTTTACTCTTCGGGACATGGGTGTGCTGAACGTGTAACTGATTGGCATTTTTTCGTGTACGTGACAAACCTCACTATTTGCCTGTGTCGGGCGGTGGCGGGCTTAACGACACTATTATATTTACGCGATCTAACCCATAAAAAAAAAAAACCTCTGTTATTGTTGAAGTGATGGGGCAAGCGCTGTTAGCGAGCAACCTATGGAAGGGGCCGGCAAAAAAGTGTGATGGGGTGGTGGTACGTCCAGTGTGCCGCGCCTGGCTGTCATTGTCTCCCCAGGCTGATGTCTACACACTGGAGCAGGTACTCACTTAATGCTGAGTCGACCTAGAAAGAGGCCAAGGACCGGTTCAGATATTCGTCACCGATGTCGGCGATGAGTGGGAATCAAACTCGGGGCGACAACACTTTTATAGCAGTGCGCTAAACCACCACGCTACCAACAACAACTGCCGTTGGCCACTAAGTGGCGGTGACGTCGCCGCGGTGCCTGTGCCAGGCTAGGTTGCGCTTTGAGGCCCACGCGAAGTGTCGAAGGCTCGCTGGCAGGAGGTCACCGGACAGACCCAGCAGGTGCCGTGGATTGACCGACCGGTGCACCAGCTGTGCACGCGCGCGCACATGCCCCGGTCAAGTGTGTCCTCAAAACAGTGTGCGCGAATATTCCGTGTACCCCGTTATAACGGAATTGTTTGGGTCGAGAAAACATATATAGGCCGCGAGGCACTCCGGTATTTTAAGGACACACTTAGTTCGAGGTTTCTGTTTGTCGTCAAAGTGGCGCTGGAGGTTCTACTTCCCTTCGATGTCGGCGAGTCCAACCAAGCACAGGGCAAAACCGCTGTTGAGTTTCCCCCCCAAACAAACGAAAGAACGGTCCCGTTGACCTTAGAGGAACGACGAGCCGAGTCGACCCCCCCAAACCCCCCAAACTTGACCCCGACCGGGTTTTTGAACGTTGCAGCAACTCTTCCGCTTGAGAGTCGAGCACACTTCTTACCTGACCAGCGCACCGCACGGTGTGCAGCGGTCAATTTTGCCGTCGTGCGTGGAGCGCCGTACGTAGCGCGACATTTAACATTTATTTTGATTGCTTAGGCACTGCCGCGTGATGAACCCCGGGAATCGGGGGTGGGGGGGGGTCAGATCAGATTCCTGGCCACTCGTAACATCCGCGGCCCCTCACCCCCCCGTCGTGTTCGCCGGCGTGGTGATGGCCCACGGTCTAAAAAGCCACCCACAGCCGCGCGGGCACTCCGCTCGGCAAAACGAATCGAGCAGAGAACCAGAGGGCCTGGTTGGGTTTGACGCAAAGCCCTGCCAATTTGCGACTGTGACGGAGGCGTATCCAGAAGGGGGGGGCGGGGGGGGGGGTGGGGGTGAGCGGGGAGGCCATTACGAGCAAAAGCCCAGTGGCATCAGGTGACAATTAGTGCCACTGATTCGGGGGCGAGGGTGAGTGGGGAGGTGGTGGCTGTTTGTCGGGGCAACAGGCAGGGTCTGTTCCAGCAGCATTTTCACGCTTGCTCCCCATTAGTGCCGGGTCACAGAGCAACGCGTGGCTGCGGCGGAGCAGCGGCGGTGGTGGTGGGTGGTGGTGGTTGTGTCCTCTACTTAACCGGGAGTTGATGTTCAGGCCCGTTGAGACACGCCATACGTTCCCCCCCCCCCTCACCCCCTTTTTTTTCCACGGGCGGCCTGGGTTACTCGGAATATTTGAAAACTTTTTTCGTTCAACAAAGTAGTAAAACTAAAAAAAAAGTCGGAGCGATTTTGCATTTTTACGCCCAATGGAGCATTGAGGCGTTGGTGCTCATCTCCCGTTTATTTACAGCTGTGTAGAGCGACTGGTGGAAATTCCACATTCTTATGACGGTGGTGGGGGCTGATGTTGGACTATTAAAGGCTTCTATGCGTGGGTGGGGGTTGGGGCCCTTTGTCTTTGTGTGCCGGCAGTGCCCATGCTGCCGATAAAGAGCGAGCCGAGCGACGACTTCATGGGGACGACGCCGACGACGGCGACGACGCCGGGCGCCCCCGAGCCGGCCGACCTCTCGGTTGAGGTTCCGCCAACCGGGCCGCTGCTGCTCCACCTGGTGCCGCCGGAGTGCGCGGGCATGAGCGCCCATCCTGGCGAGGCTCAGGCGTACCAGGCCCTGCACCCCATGCCACCCAATGGGGTGGACATGCCCATGGACCAACGCTTCCAGGGGCTCGATCACCTCGGGCAGGCCGTGTTCCAGAATGCCGAGATGCAGCACCTACACCACCACCACCATCACCCTCACCACCATCACCACCACCACCAGCAGCAGCATCACCACCACCACCACCAGCAAGAGGATCACCACCACGGCACGGTGCATCACCAACACAATCACCCCCATCAGAGCCATCACGATCATCACCAGCAGCAGCAGCAGCAACAGCACCAGCTGCAGGGATCCCAGCAGAATAACAACCACTACGGAGCGCTGGCATACCAGGGCTTTCACTCGACAGGCCACGCTCAGCTGCCGTTCGAGACCTTCGCCTTCATAGAGGAGGGCGGCGACGTGGAGGGGCACGGCTTGCACATGGCCTACGAGCAGCTGGGGGTGCACGTAGGGATGCAGCAGCAGCAGCAGCAGCACCAGCAGCACCAGCAGCATCAGCACTACGCGTCGGCACCGCCGCCGCCGCCACGCGGGGCCTACTCGGGCTGCGCCTCGGGCGGCATCAAGCAGGAGCCGGCGGAGGGCACGGACAGGGGCCGCTTTCCCACGCAGGGCAACCGGCAGCACTTCACGTTGGAGGAGGGTGAGGAGAGGCTCTCGACCGCAAACGCGCGCGGGGGGACGGTCGCACGTGTGTGTGTGTGTGCGCGTGTACGCACAGTACGTAGCCAACCGTGCTGATGGGCGATGCGGGGGAAGGACAACAAACTATTTACACGCAAAAAACGTGCCCGCCACACGTGGGAGCGTGGACCTGATGGACACATGGTCCGCGTATGGTTGGGGTAAAGTGTGGGCGCTCGTTCCTCTTCCGAGATGTCCCGCCGGCCAGTGTGGAAGAGTGGGCAAAGATACCGTTCGAGGGACGCTCGTTAGAACTCCCGTTAGCGGAGGAGCATCCATCCGCCAGCAGTGGCGAGAGCAGCGAGAAATTGCAGTGGCCTTGCTCCAGCCTAGCCAAGTGTGACCCCCAGTGGCAGCTGTCCCTGTGCGGACAGAGACAGAGTAACAGAGACGCAGAGCTGCAAGGTGGGGGGGGGGGGGAGAGAAGCATGCGAGAGAGCGAGTGTGTTCATGCAGACAGGACATCGGACAAACCCGGGTCTTGATGTCCTTTCACGAACGTTACTCAACACTAAGACCATCCTCCCGTTCAAGTGCTTCTCAGCCTCGCGTTCATGCCCACGCACTGCCACCCAGGGACCACTCCCATTGGAGCGCATTGAAGTCAATTGCACATGCAGTAGGAGCAGGTACCATTTCAATTCCTCAATCCCTCCGTTCCCACCCACCGTTGGGTGCATTGTCACTACTGAGGGTTGCAATGCTATACAGAAGATTCTACATTTTGGCTTGTTTTTACGATCTCATTTGTATCGCTTCTCATTTGTATTGTTTGAACAGTCTCGCTTTAATGCGATTTTAATCCCTCACCGATTAGTGCGGTTGGCTACGTACAGCGCGAAAGAAGTTCAACGCACATACTTCGCTTCCTTGGGCCAATACGTAACGGCGGACTATAATTTTCATTAAGTTTGCATCAGTATTGCCATGTGGCGCTGTGGCAGAGCACAAGACCCGTGATGTTGATGTCCCGGGTTCAATTCCTGGTGGACACAGGATCAGCTGACACCGTCATCCCTCCAGGGCCAATGGGGGAGGGAGGGGGGGGGGGTGTTTGGTGCGCGACTGCAAATCTCGTATCGATGTTCGAATACGAGCCAACCTGTGGTGTAACTTTATTTTTCTCTCAGGCACTTAAGGCGATTGAAAACTGGCCAAAAAATCGCTCAAAAAAGGGGTTGCCCAACATTTCGGGAGCACCAAATTCCAGAGCGCCGTTTGCGAATATGTATTCCTATTTTTCCTGAACACCTGTTTCCCATTCAATACTTCCAAGGCAGCAAACCAAATTTTGGAAAGCGTTGCACAATCCATCCCAATTTTTTATATATTTATATGCATCATGTATATCTGTAAGGAGCTGTATGGGATCCGTTGTCACTTAACGGTGATAGGCTAAAGGAGCCGGCGACGACGAAATTCAAGCCGCGGCGTTTTACCGCACGGGCAAAGCAACGGCGACAAAAAAAAAAGACGAACGCGTTCGATCGCCGGGCTGCGGACGCTGGCTCGCGCGCGTGACGGTGCCGCGTTAGTGACCCCGTCAATGGAGACGTGTGTTACGCGTGACCCCGTTTCCCCCCGTCGCTGATCCCGACACCCCACGCCGTTCCTGTGCAAGGGGTCATCCGAGGGTATCGGCCAGAGGCAACGCATGGCTGGCCCCTGGTGCCCTTTGCGCAGCGTGTGCACACCCCCACAATGCCTTTGGGGCAGGGGCAGCGGGGGGTGGGAGCGGGGGAAGGGCAGCGGCTCTTGCGGTGATGAAGACCCCCCAACCCCCGTTAAGAGGTCATTTTGGTTTCGGGTCATCGTCGGGTGGGGCTGTGTGGGTGGTAGGGGCTTTAAACGACACGCAAACACGCCTAGAGAGCACGCGGCACTGTTGCGTTATGCAAAAAAAATCAACATCAGCAGTTCCTGAAGCAGGGCATTGTGGGTCCTCTTGTCTTAGGTTACCATCACAATCAGTTTGAGCGAATATGACCGACTGACAGCAGCAGCGATGGAAAAACCGTGTACCGGTTTTCGTCCTCATCGGTACTCATCGGTACTCATCAGCACAGTACTGTCACCGATGATCCGCGCACTGCTGCAAAGTCTGCCTCTGGGAACCGTGTACGATGTGTAGTCCCTGCTTCCACATGATGGGGCCCCATTAGCTTGGCTAATGCCAAGATCAATCGCAACTGTAAATGACGAGGCGGGTGGGGCGTCAGGAGGAGTGCGAATTCGACTGTGGTAAGAACCTCGCATTTATTTTTGCGCGCGTGCGGTGCTTTTTCTTTCCGCCGCACGTAACGTACAGTCAGTCCACCGCTGGATAGAGGGCCTCGTCCTCACCGCACGCGGGGGGGTTCCCACTGGTTGTTTGACCATACTTCGCCACGCTGGTCAGCGCGGATTTGGCGAGGGCGAGGCGAGCCGACGTCATTGGAACCTTTCACCGATAGATTTTTTTTTCCTTTCGCGCCGTCGCCCTCTGCTGCCGGTCGCAACGTAGAACTCGGCCGGTGTCCGGAAGCGTCCCGTTGTGCCGTGGCTGCTCACCCACCCGAGTACCGTCTGCGCTTGACGCTGCTCGGCAGCCTCTTGAGACCTGTCGGGAGATCGGAAACCCTCCGGGTGATTTGGCCAGAAGTCGGCGCTCCAATGGGCGCCACGGTGGCGAGATATTATTTGCCTCGCCTGGTATGTAGGGGGTCGTGGGTTCTCCGGGTCCTCCGGTTTTCCCCCCCCACATTTAGAAACTATAAACATGCATTAACGTGTATTTGGCTGCTTATACATTTCCACACGACGATAAGCCACTTTGTTGAGCTATCACTTGTTGCCAGGTTGCTTCTGAAAGGGCGTTCTAGCAGTGTGGGCCTCACCTGCTAAAATAAAAATTCGTTAATTTCGGCAGGGATCATCCAGGTGAGCAGCCCATCCAATATTCCTCTCACCATTGCTGTGACTGCTCACAGTCGCCGCCGCCGCCTATATAAGTGCCTGCATGGTATGGCACCACCGTTATTTTTTCGGAGTTACGCGTGCCTGCCGCCAACGATGGAAAGACGACAACACCTCAGGTCTGCTGCTGCTGCTGCTCCTGCTCGTGGCGATCTCGTGGTGTTCTCATCATCGTCATTGTTGTGACGCGTAACCCCCGCTTAGCGATGCGCGGCGACCGCGCTTTTCGGAAGGCTTGCGCCCCTGTCGCATCGTGGAATTCTCTACCCGCGGGAAACAAAATCAAGAACAACAAAGTTTGAGTTCAACCACTTCAAGAGGCACCTTAAAATGCATTTAATGAACACAGCGTGACCAGACAGCAGTGCGCGTTCGGGATGCTATCGGCATGATTTTGCGTTTGTACGTGTGTACGTGCGTTTGTACGTGTGTACGTACGTTTGAACGTCTTTCGCGCCGTACGTAGCCAACCGTGCCAGTCGGAGGCGCTAATCGTTTCCTTGAATGACCGTTCACGTTACGTTACTGTGGTCTACCGGCGACTCGAAAAATCCCTGGCCGAGACGACGAATCCCCGGTCACGCATTCGGCTGACTTATGAAAACCTTCGTCTTCATCGTTCCATCGTTGGAGCACCGTGGCCTGGCGGTGAAAGAAGCGGGATTGGGCGGAAAGCGGGGATGTTTTTTTTCGGCGGGGGAAGCACGGGGCGGGGCGGCATTTAAACTTTTGGCCGCCGCTGCTGCTGTTGGCAGATGTACGAGCGAGCAGAGGAGAGGTGAATTTGGTGCGAAGGGAAACGGGCAGGGGAGGGCCAGGAGACCATGCGGTCGTGTGGGCGTGCACGCATGTGTGTGTGTGCTCGTGTGTGTGTGTGTGCGCGTGTGTGGGTAGATTCCCGCTCACGGCCAACACCCAGTGACGATTATCTGAACCGGTCCAGGGCCTCCCCTAGGTCGACCCAGCCTCAAATGGGTACCTGGTGCGATGTGTAAACATCGCCACTAAGGGAGACAAAGGCGGCCGGGCGTGGTGCTGGCCACCCACCCCCTCATGTGCCGTGCCGGCCTTCATAGGTGCTCGCTAACAGCACTTGCCCCAACAGTCTGTTAAGGCTACACGGGGGGTCTTTGTGTGTGGGTAGAGGTTTTTGATTTTTCTTGGCAGCTGCAAAGGTGGCCAGGTATACAGTAGAGAAACAAACCCAGCCAATTAAAAAAAACACACACAAATATTCCATCCGCCCTCTTTGGTTCTTTCGGTAAAGTCACGTAGGTAAAGAAAATAAATTAAATCACGACGTTTCTGACAACACAAGGCGTCCGTCAACAGGTGGGACAGCCTTATTTATTTTATTTACCTACGTGACTTTACCGAAAGAACCAAAGAGTATGGATCCTTGCAGTCACGAAAACTTCAAATCTAGAATTAAATCCGCCCACTGTGTGATTCGCTTCACACGCAGCGAGGTGCAGTCTCGCTCTACGGGGACGTGTGTGTGTGAACTACATTTGTACGGACAGACGGGAGTACTCACGAGGCTGATGGCGTGGTGTCGTGGTTGCGATGCTGGACTGCCGGAGTGGCGCCTTGTGTGGTGGGGTAAAAGGGGCGAGTTGCAGCCACTTCTTTCAAGATGTTTGGCCGGCGTGGAAGAGTAGGCCAAATACCGGTCTGGAGAAGGAGCCTGTCCAGAGCTCCGTCCCGTTGGAGGCCCCTTCTGCCAACAGTCGCGTGAGCAAGCGATTGTAGGGCTGCGCCTGTGCCCTCTAGAAGTGTTCACGGTATGGTAGAGGAGTGCTCAACGGGATCAGTAAAAGTGGGCGTTGAGTGCAATGGCCAGGCTGGTTTCCAGGCAGGGGTCGGTTGGAGCCGCGCTTTTACATGGAGACCCAAAGAATCCACCGAAAGATATTCGTCAAGGCCATTCGTCGTTGGGCTGAGGAGCTATTGAAAGTAGCTTCGCTTCTTGAGGCGCGACCTCGTTTTGCTTTCCAGCGCTCA